ACGTGGGTGGCTCAGTGGTTGAGCATCTGCATGATCCCCCACTCCTGGGATCGAGTCCTGCATGGAGCTCCCCATTGGGAGCATGCTTCTCCCTCTGCCTAGGTCACTGCCTCTCTCTGTGTGTCTCCCATGAACAAATAAAAATCTTTAAAAAATAAAATACGATATCATTTTCAATTGGTTGAAATAAAAATGTAAATCTAACATAACAAATCAAAAAAATTTTAAGATAACATAGATTTACATGATAAAACAATGCTACTGAAACAAATCAAAGAAGGTATAAGTAAATGGAAAGACATACCATGTTTATAAATCCGAAGACACAATATAGTAAAACGTCAATTCTCCCCAGATTGATATACAGGTCTACTGCAATTCCTATCAAAACCCCTGCAAGATTTTTTTGTAAATATAGATAAGATTATTCTACAAATTATTTGTTACAAACAAAAATAGTTAAAACAATTCTGAAAAAGAAGTGGGAAGAATCAGTCTATACCAACTTACAACCTATTATACAGCGCAGTAACCAAGACTGTGTGATAGTGGTGGAGGGACAGACACACAGATCAATGGAACAGGGCAAAAAAAACAGGAATAGACTCAGAAATATACTCACTGATTTTTTACAAAGATCCTGCCTTTTCAACAAAGGGTGCTGTAATTGCAAAAACTAGGAACAACCAAATGTCCTTCAAAAGATAAATGGTTGAAAGAAAGTACATCTGTGTACTTTCACTACTACTAGAAGTAAAAGTACTACTCAGCAACACAAAAGAATCAACTGTTAATACACACAACAACCTGGATGAATCTCTAGAGAATTGTGCTGAGTGAAAAAAGCCAATCACAAAAGGTACTTACTATATGATTCCATGTACAAAACACTTTTGAAATGACATAATCATAGAAATGGAGAACAGATTAGTGACTGTCAGTACTTGAGAAGCATGTAGGTAGCAAGTGGGTGTGGCTATAGAACAACATGGGGAATCTTGTAATGGAAACATTCAGTATCTCGACTATATCAGTGATACTGTCATGGGTCTGATATTGTACTATAGTTTTACAAATGATACCACTGAGAGCAACTGGTTAAAGGGTATATAGAATCCTTCTGAATTCTTAGAACTGCATGTGGATCTACAATTATGCTACAAAAAGCTTAATTAAAAAAAAAAAAAAAACTGGGATGCCTGGCTCAGCGGTTGAGTGTCTCCCTTTGGCTCAGAGCCTGATCCCAGGGTCCTGGATCGAGCCCCATGGTGGGCTCCCTACGAGGAGTCTGCTTCTCCCTCTGCCTTGTGTCTCTGCCCCTCTCTCTGTGTCTCTCATTAATAAATAAAATCTTTTTTAAAAATTTAAAAAATAATTTAAAATTTTTTAAAATAAAAATAAATTTTAAGAAAACTGGACCACTCACTGCTCTAAGGTCTATCACCCAAATATTAACATTTCAGAATGGATCTAGCCTCTTAACAACCCTTCATTAATCTTGGCTTTGTGCTGAACTAAGTGAAGACACACAGATATAAAATTTAAAATATTATCCCTACCCTGAAATACCATACATAGAATGACAGAGGCATAAATCAACAGTGGAAGCCTTCATAAAGGAGATAGGATTTGAGCAAATCCTTGAACAAGAGGTAGTACGTCCACAAGTGGAGGAAAGAGGGGCATCTTGGGAAGAAACCACATATACATCCTACAGAGGTATGTGTGTGCTGTGAAATAAGAGAACTATGGAACAAACAGTAAAGTGGAGTAATTATGGAAGGTCCCCAAAAGTCACAAAGAGGAATTCAAACGCCACTTACTCCAGCCTTCCTCACCAATCCAGCCAACCAAAAGCAGCAGATCCCCCACCATCGCCGCCGCCACTGCCGCTGCCACCAGTCTCTTCAACATCCTTCACTTTTTCTTTCAGCACTCATCACAAGTGATAATTATTATATATTTAGCCGCATACCTCTTTGCTTAATGCTGCCCCACTTTTGGATATCCTGAATATCTACTACCAGGGCTGGCACACAATAAGCACTCAATAAATATTAACTTAAGTGAACAAACTATAAGTGTTCACTCCTGGTTCTCTTCTGTGCAGCTGCCAACTCATCTTCCTGCATTATCTGTCACTCCATTTGCCTTGGTCCCTCTCTCACCTACTGTCTCTTTCCCTTGTTCCTCCACCTCAGCCCAACTCTTACCCCATCACAAAAATAAAAAGTCAGCATATTTTAAAACAGTGTATTAGATCAAAATGCTGTAATACTCTCTTGAATCTCAGACAATGAGGAAGTATATCCCAAGAAATCTGTTACTGAAAAAAGTACTAAAGTTGTGTGTTGTTACATAAGCATAACAAATGTATATATTACATAAACAAACAAGAGCAGAAAGAGTTACTCCTTTCACAGCCTTATTTTCCTGAATGTGAGAGCCTTTTCCCAGAACTGGATGATCCTATCGGGTGTCCGGAAAGTTAGCTGCCCATTAGAGAGCCAGGACAGTGCTCCTCAAGGCTACCAAGGCTATGAAAAACAAGAAAGAAAAGGCCACAGACCAAAGACTAAGGAGACATAACTACCAAATGCATGTGGTCCCTTGGACTGGATTCTGGAACATAAAGAGAATATTAATGGAAAAACTGGTGAAATCCAGATAATCCAGAATTTGGCTTAAAAAATGTATTTACATATACATGTTTTTTTACTTTTTTTTTTTAAGATTTTATTTATTTATTCATGAGAGACAGAGAGAGAAAGAGAGGCAGAGGGAGAAGCAGGCTCCATGCAGGGAGCCTGATGTGGGACTCGATCCCAGGTCTCCAGGATCACACACTTCAGGATCACTTCTCCTGGGCTGAAGTCGGCGCCAAACCACTGAGCCACCAGGGCTGCCCTACATATACATTTATACACCCACACCCACACCCACACACACGTATATCAGGTTAACACAACTGAGATTTAAATATGTAAATATCATTTTATATTATTAAAAAGAGAAAGAAAACAGGCACAAGTAAGTGAGCCAAACGTGAAACTCAGGCCAGGGCAGTTGGAACTTAAGAGTTGAAAAGCTGCATAGAACTTCGTTTTTGACTCTGTTCCCATGCTCTTACCTGATGCCATGAGAACTAACCTGACTGCAATTTCTTGAGATTAACAACCAGTTCTGACTTCCTAGCATATACTCAGCAAGCATTTGTCGAGTGCCTACTGCTTACCAGGTACTGTGAAATCTTTGGGGATACATGACTGGAAAAGGAAGACACAATCTCTGCTCTCATAAAGCTTATATTCTATTGGAGAAGCCAGGCATTTAATAAGCATTTGCATAAATGGTGAATGTTCCCAAGAGTTTTGGAACCTGCCTCTTCAAAGCCCTACCAAACAATCCATGAATGGTGTTCTGCATAAGGCCTTCAATGTGAACAAATCACCTGAGATAGATCTATAAACTATCACCCGTGATCTGTTAAGTCACTTTAACAGGTACTCATTCAGTTGTTGGGGCTTGGTACCTGAGATTGCGCATTTCTTCCAAACTTCCAGAAGCCAGGGATTCCCTGCCGCCGGTTCACAGACTGCACTTGGAATTAGCAAGGTTCTCCAGTACCATGGAAACATCAAACTATCATGTAAAAAGCAAGCTCCAAAAAGGCGAGGACATTCCGTCTCTCTTATTCACCACAGTACACACCAGACTTAAAACTGCACCTCACAGATACCATTCAATAAATACTTATTTTGGTAATAAACAAATGGCTGTAAGATCCTGATAAGCACTCACAGCAGTCAGCAGTCACATCTGGATACTGAACACTTTGGACAGTGGCTAGTGCAACTGAGGAACCAAGTGACTTTTAAGTTAATTCTAATTAAATAGCCACACGCGGTTAGCAGCTACCACAATGGACAATCCCACGTCTGGACAGAGATGGGATATAAAGAGTGCCGAATTAATAAAGCCTAGGTTTGAATCCCAGCTCTGCTGCTTAGTTAGCATCTGACCTGCAAAGTTACAACTTCTTAAGGCCTCCACTTCTCCCTCTGTGAAATGAGGGCAAGACCCGTCTCCCCGCCACACACACACCCCTCTCTCAGGGTTTCCGACAGAAACGACTACGAAATTAACGTATTCAGCAAAAGGCATGATTAAAGCAACATTCTCTGCCCTCCAGAAACAGTTGACGATCACCAAGACTACTTTGCCTATTGCCCGTACTTGCCAGAAAATGCCAAGCAATTCTGGTCGAAGGGCTGGCTGGTTAGCCCAGTGGCTTTGAGAATGAGGCCAAGGTCATAAGTTTGGAGGAAGGGGGACCCTCGCACTTAGCCAGGGTGACCGGGCGAGAGAGGCCATGACAATGCACATCATCGTGGTTCCTGGCAAATCTTTACGTGGGCATCGTGTTGTCTGTGGAGGAGTAGGCGACATCTCATTCATTCATTCCTCCGGGGAAGGGCTGCCGCGGCGCCCAGAGCCCGCTCCTCCGCAGCCCCAGACCTCGGCTGCAGGCAGGGCCGCGTCCACCGCGGGCAGCGCGCCGGGAAGCCCCCGCCCCGGGAAGCCCCCGCCCCGGGCGGCCCGCGCGGCCGCCCCTCCCCCTCCCCCCCCCCCCCCGGCGCCCCGGCCCCGCCAGGTCAGCCCGGCACCCCCGCTCCGCGTCCCGCACGGCCGCGCCGGACCCAGGAGCCATATTTAGCTGTTATTTCTGGTCAATGAAACAAACTTCCGTCTTCTAAAGAAAAACGGTTCCAACTCAATGACAAACTAGGACGGAAACTCGCCGCTCGCCGCAGCTGCCAGGCAGAGGCGCCGCGTGCCCGGCAGCCCCGGCGCCCCCGGCTCGGACCCCGCGCCCCGGGCCCCGCAGCGCCGGCCACAAAGGACGCGAGCCGCGGCCGGGCCTCCCGCTCCTGCTCCTGCTCCTGCTCCTGCTCCTCCCGCTCCCGCTCCCGCTCCTCCTGCTCCCCCCGGCCTCGCAGGCGGCCCGGCTCCGGGACGGCCCGGGGCGGGCGGGCACTCACCTCGGGCGGCGCGCGCGGCGGCGGCGGCGGCGGCGGCGGCGGCGGCGGCGGGCGCTCCTGGGCCGGCCCGGGCGGTCGCGGCGCGGTCCCGCGGGCCGCAGCGCGGGCGCTACTCTCGGGCCGCCGTGCGCCGCGCCGCCTCCTCGGCCACTGCCGGCGGCTCCCCCGGCGGGCGGGCGGGCCCCGCGCGGGCCCCGCCTCCGCCGCGCCCGCCCCCCGCCCCCCGCCCCCGCCCCCGCGCCGGGGCCTCGCGGGCTGGGCGCGCTACTCGGGGCCGGCCCGCCGCCGCCGCCGCTCGCTGGGGGCCGCCTCCCGCGGCGGGCCGGGGCCGCAGGGCCGCCGCGCAGGCCGCTCGGGCGCAGGGCTCGCGGCGTGCTCGGCGGCGGCGGCGGCGGCGGCGGCGGCGGCGGCGGCGGCGGCGGCGGCCCGTGCGGCTGCGCGGGGGAGGCGGGGGCGCCGCGCGCTCGCCCGGATGCGCCGGCCCCCGCCCCTGCGGCGAGCCCACCGCGGGGCCGCGCGCCTCCCTCGGGCCGGGCCGGGGCCGGGGGCCGGGGGCGGGGGCGGGGGGCCTCCGGCGTCGCGGCGCCTGCTCCCCCGCCTCGCCTCCCTGCCCCGCGCGGCCTGGTCCCCGGGCGGGAGGCTGCGTCGGGGGCCCGCTCGGCCGAGCCGGCCCGCCCCGGCGGCCTCCACCTAAACCTGCGCGCGGACAAAGAGGCCACCGCGGCGACCCCGGTGCACTCGGGCCGTTTCACGTCGAGCCGAAGCCGGGCTGGGCGGAAACGGAGGTGCCCCTCACCGCGCCGAGGAGCTTCTGGGTGGACCCCGAGCCGAGCGCAAGGCTGCTCCTGCCCCGGTGCGGCCCTTCCGAGCCCTGCGCCAGGCGCCGGGATGCAGGAGCTGCTCGACCCGGCGGGGCGGCGAGAGGCGAGGCCGCCGACCCGCACCGCGGGAAGACGCGCCGGGCCTCGGGGGACGAAGCCGCCGCGGCCCCCTGCGGAAAGGGGATTGTCCGGGGAAGACCCTTCCCGCCCGCCGCTCCGAGAGGGCGCCCCCGGGGAAGCGCCCCCTCGGGCCCTCACGCCTTCGCCCAGCGGCCTTCCTCTGAGAAGACCCCGGCTGCTGCTCCAGCACTCCCACGAGGCGTACCCGAGAGCTGGCTTACTGAATTCGTGTTCTACTTTTCAGTCATGCGGAGGTCTTTGTATCTTGCTCGCCATCCAAGAGCTGGAATGATTAGGGATTAATGTTGATGCTATTATTTAAAGAGCCCCCCAGGGCAGCCCGGGTGGCCCAGCGGTTTAGCGCCGCCTGCAGCCCAGGGCCTGATCCTGGAGACCCGGGATCGAGTCCCACGTCGGGCTCCCTGCACGGAGCCTGCTTCTCCCTCTGCCTGTGTCTCTGCCTCTGTCTCTCTCTCTCTCTCTCAATCTGTCTCTCATGAATAAATAAAATAATAAATGCCCCCCTTTTTATTTTTAATAAATGCTGTGTATGGCACAGAACCAAAAGGCTTTAAGCAAAAAGATGTTACCGAAGATTATCTCTGGAACTACCTTGTTTTCTGCTTATCTACATTTTCCAGGTATTCTAAAATTTAAAAAAAAAAAAAAAAGTTGCCTTTTAAAAGTACTTCTACGATTCTTTTGAAACAAGGCAAATCCTGGTGGGCCTGGGAAGCCTACCTAAAGGAAATTTCACTTTGAAGCTTGGATATTATTTTAAAAATTAAATACTATATTTACCGGGGGAAAGACTTGCAAAAAATGTATCTGACAAGGACTTGTATTTATTTTTTTTTTATTTATTTATTTATTTATGATAGGCACACAGTGAGAGAGAGAGAGAGGCAGAGACACAGGCAGAGGGAGAAGCAGGCTCCATGCACCGGGATGCCTGATGTGGGATTCGATCCCGGGTCTCCAGGATCGCGCCCTGGGCCAAAGGCAGGCGCCAAACCGCTGCGCCACCCAGGGATCCCAAGGACTTGTATTTAGAATATATAAAGAGGGGCACCTGGGTGGTTCGAAGGGTAGGCCTTTGGCTTAAGTCATGATTCCAGGGCCCTGGGATCCAGCTCAACATTGGGCTCCCTGCTTCTCCCGCTCCCTCTGCCTGCCATTCCTCCTGCTTGTGCTCTTTCTCTCAAATAAATAGTCTTTTTAAAAAGATAAAAGCTTTGGGGCAGCCCAGGTGGCTCTGCGGTTTAGCGCCGCCTTCAGACCAGGGCCTGACCTGGAGACCCGGGGTTCCAGTCCCACGTCGGGCTCCCTGCATGGAACCTGCATCTCCCTCTGCCTGTGTCTGTGTCTCTCATGAATAAATATAAATAAAATCTTTAAAAATAAAAGGATAAAAGTTTTTTTAAAAAAATAAAACAATGTATAAAGAACTCTTACAACTCAATAAAACTAATAATCCAATTTAAAAGGGCAAAAAGAGGGATCCCTGGGTGGCGCAGCGGTTTGGCGCCTGCCTTTGGCCCAGGGCGCGATCCTGGAGACCCGGGATCGAGTCCCACGTCGGGCTCCCGGTGCATGGAGCCTGCTTCTCCCTCTGCCTGTGTCTCTGCCTCTCTCTCTTTCTCTCTCTGTATGACTATCATAAATAAAATAAAATAAAAATTAAAAAAAAAAAAGGGCAAAAAGAGTTGAATAGACAACCAAAGAAAATGTTTCAGTAGTCAACAATAGCATGAAAAGATGCAAACTGAAAGGCAAATCAGAACCACAGTGAGAAAGCTCTTCACACCCACATTAACGGCTATAATAAAGAGGACTGACAATGACAAGTGTTGGTAAGGAGAAAGAAATTAGAACCTTCCTACACCGCAGATGGGAATGTGAAATGGTGCAGTCACTTTGGAAAGGTTCATTAGTTTCTCAAAAAGTTATACAGAAAAGTACCATATGACCCAATAATTCCATTTCCTAGGTATACACCAAAGAATATTGAAAACATGCCCATTTGGCAAATTGTACAGAAGTATTCACCAGCAGCATTATTCATAATACCCAAAAAGTGGAAACAATCCAAATGTCCAGCAACTGATGAATGGATAAGCAAAAGGTGGTATATCCATACTATGGAATGCTATTCAGCAATAAAATGGAATGAGATATTCGTAGAAAATACAATAGAGGGGCCCCTGGGTGGTTCAGTCCGTTAAGTGTAAGCCTTAGGCTCAGGTCATGATCTGCATCTCCCTCTCTCTGTGCCCCACCCTCACTCACACCCCCACCACACCCACACACCCACACACCCACACACCTGCGCGTGCATGCGCGATCCTGGAGTCCCGGGATCGATTCCTGAGACCCGAGCCCCGAGTCCCGCGTGGGGCTCCCTGCATGGAGCCTGCTTCTCCCTCTGCCTGTGTCTCTGCCTCTCTCTCTCTCTCTCTATCATAAATAAGTAAATCTTTTTTTTTTTTTTAATGCTATTTTGAAAAGATACAGGAACGCTGGGTGGCTTAGCCGTTGAGCGTCTGCCTTCAATTCAGGGCATGATCCCTGGTCCAGGGATCAAGTCCCTCATCTAGCTCCCTGCAAGGAACCTGCTTAATCCTTCTATGTCTCTGCCTCTCTCTCTGTCTCTCATGAATAAATAAATAAAATATTTTTAAAAACAAAAAAAAAGATACAACACAGAGGAACCTCAGAAACATTAAGCTAACATATTGTATGATTCCATTTCTATGAAACATCTAGAAAAGACAAATCTATGCAGTTTGACTGGTTGCCCAGGTCTAGGGGTGGGGAGGGGAAGTGAATGCAAAGAGAAACAAGGGATCATTTTTGGAGTGATGGAAATTTCTAAAAGCAGATTGTAGTAATGGTTGCACAATTGTATAGATTTACTAAAAATCTTTGAACTGTGCATTTGGAATTCATTAATTTTATGGTATGTAAATATTACCTCAAAACATAGGGGGGGTAAATCTGTGTGCCACAAAGTAGCCCAGGATAATAGTACCTTATCTGGTTGCAACAAGTTCTTCACAATAAAAGAACTTTTAAAACAAATAGAAAATTGTATCGTTTGCATCATACAATGTAACAAAAGGTGCTTTTTGCAATTGATTCTATAACCAAGACAATAACCCTTCAACAGCCTCCATCTACCCACTCTTATTCATTCAAAATGTATCTTCATTTTACCCACTAAGAGAATTGGGTGCCACCTGGGAGGCTCAGTGATTGAGCATCTGCCTTTGGCTCAAGTTATAATGCCGGGGTCCTGGGATCAAGTCCTGCATTGGACTCCCCACAGGGAGCCTCCTTCTCCCTCTGCCTTTGTCTCTGCCTCTCTTGTCTCTCATGAATAAATAAATAAAATCTAAAAAAAAAAAGAGTTGGAAATTGAAGTAGAAAAAGGTAAACATCCTTGAGAGCAAGAAAGAACTGGGTATCTTACAACAAGGAGGGTGTTAAGGCTCAGACTGGGGAATCCAAAGTTAGGACATTGACATAATCTCTCAATTTTATTCACGTTTCCGGTCAGTCCCTGCTCCAGATTTACTGCCTTCTTCCAGTTGTGGAGATGTGTGCTTCAGGGGGAGCATTACCTTTGGGCTGGATAACGGTTTGACTTAGGATTTTTTTTCATGATCTTATGGGTTTTTCATTATTTCTATGATTTTACCGTGGAAGAAATTAGCCTTTAGAAGATTAATTAGTAGAGACATAAAGTGGACTAATCTATGTCCACCTGCCATGACTTCTTCTCCCCAAGCCCCCCCCCCCCCCCCACCCGCCTCACACACACACACCAGAAGCACACCAGGGGAGCTGCTCCATCGAGTGAATGATTAGCTCAGTACATTGTTTCTATCAGACCCTCCTTGTTATTTGAATAATACTAATATTCTCTTAACTTGTGAATTAGGACTGGTTGTTTCCAATTAGCTAGGAAGAGGGAGACTAGCACCTCCATGGACTCATTGTAATGGGGAGATGTGGGAGATTGCCTAAAGCAGAGTAAACTGCCCAAGAATAATTGAGCCCATGTGGTGGGTGGGAGGAGGAGGGAGGGGATCTGTTACACAGAAGTGTGTGTCAAACATCATGACAGGATGGGGAAGAACAGAAGAAGGTGACATTGAAAGAGGGATAGGCAAACACAAGCCCACACAGGAGTCAAATGACATGAAGTAGGTGGTAATTATGCAGAACGTATAAACGCTACCGTTTTATGATTTTTTTACTCCTTCTTTTGCTTTTCCCACCGAAGGCCTTTTTGACCCGGCTGCCTTGCTTTGGGCTTGAAGCCTCAGGAACCTGGGTGCCCCTCTTTCCTCTCCACACGTGGTGGATTTCCCATGGTCTCTACACTTCCTCTCCAAGCGTCTCTTTTATGCATGCATTTCAATGACCAGATCAAACCCCTCGCCACTTCTAACTTCCAAAGGAGCAGGAAAATGCAGTCAATTCCAGCATGTCCCCAGAAGGCAGAGAGCTTCAAAAATTTGGATTGTAACATTAATGACTATCAGAACCGTGAAAATTGGAGGATGACACTTTATTTAAACTTTTTATTTTGAAATAATTATAGATTCATGGGAAGTTTTAAAAATTGTACAGAGAGGTCCTTTGTAAACTTTATCCATTTCCCCCCCTTTGGTTACATCTTTTTCTTTTCTTTTCTTTTTTAAAGTAAGTTCTAGGGAACCCTGGGTGGCGCAGTGGTTTAGCGCCTGCCTTTGGCCCAGGGTGCGATCCTGGAGACCGGGGATCGAATCCCACGTCGGGCTCCCAGTGCATGGAGCCTGCTTCTCCCTCTGCCTGTGCCTCTGTGTGTGTGTGTGTGTGTGTGTGTGTGTGTGTGTGTGTGTGTGTGTGTGTGTGTGTGACTATCATAAATAAATAAAAAGTTTTAAAAAAAGATTTTAAAAAAATAAATAAAGTAAGTTCTACTCTCAACCTGGAGCTCCAACTCATTGCCTGAGATCAAGAGTGGTTACATCTGGGGTGCCTAGGTGGTTAAGTCATTGAGCAGCTGCCTTCAGGTCCTGGGATCCAGCCCTGAGGGCTTTCTGCTCCACTAGGAGCCTGCTTCTCCCTCTCCTTTTGCCTGCCACTCCCCCTGCTTGTGCTCTCTGTGTGTGTCAAATAAATAAATAATGTCTTTTAAAAAAATGGTTACATCTATAGCATAAAAAGAATTATAAATTTGGGCAGTCCCGGTGGCTTAGCGGTTTAGCACCGCCTTCAGCCCAGGGCGTGATCCTGGAGACC